TGTCTAATCCCTTTTTGCATCTCCATCGATGGATAATCGATAGTGGTGCAACAGATCATATCACTTCCTCACCAGAATTGCTTACTGATGGTGTTAAAAATGAGCAAATGTCTCCTGTTTTGTTACCCAGTGGAGAGAAAGCCCGCATACTTTCCATTGGTCACATTCCTTTGAGTTCTACTTTTAGATTGCAAGATGTGCTATGTGTGCCTACCTTTAAATTAGATTTGATGTCAGTAAGTCGTATTACGAGCGGATTACATTGTTCAGTAACATTTTTTCCTTCTTGGTGTGTTATGCAGGACCTAATGACGAGGACGATGATTGGTTTAGGTAAGCGAAGAGGCGGGCTGTACTACTTGGTGGCCTTGGCTCCTGCGCGGCCTCAACATCCTCGACGATTTTGCAACCTTGTGCTTTCACCTACGGAGCTATGGCATCGGCGTTTGGGTCACTTGTCAGCCCCTCGTTTAGATTTCATGTCCAAACAATTGTTACATTTCCCTTTTGCATCTAATAATGCTTGTGATATTTGTCCTTTAGCCAAGCAACATCGATTACCTTTTAGTGTTAGTTCTATTTCTTCTAATAAACCCTTTGTTTTGATTCATTGGGATATCTGGGGACCCTTTAAAGTTGCATCTACTTCTCGAGCCAAGTATTTTTTAACCATTGTAGACAATTATTCTCGCTTCACATGGATTTTCCTTATGCAACACAAAAATGAAACACAATCTATTCTCAAGATTTTTTTTTCTTTTGTCAAAACTCAATTCAATACTTCTATTCGGCAAATCCATGTTGACAATGGTGGGGAATTTTTTTCCCTTCGTGATTTCTTTAAAGATCATGGAGTGATTTACCAACATTCTTGCGTTTATATGCCTCAACAAAATGGGGTCGTAGAACGCAAGCATCGACATATACTTGAAACCGCTCGTGCCTTGCATTTTCAAGCTAATCTTCCCCTCCATTTTTGGGGTGAATGTGTACTCACAGCTGTTCATCTTATTAACCGTCTTCCCACACCCATTCTTTCCAAGAAAACGCCTTTTGAACGTTTATATTCTAAACCTCCTACCTTTTCACACCTTAAAGTCTTTGGTTGCCTTGCTTTTGCCACTGACGTCAATGTTACTCATAAATTTTCTCCTTGTACCCACAAGTGCATTTTTATAGGATATCTCATTGGTCAGAAAGCCTACAAATTATATAACCTCACCACTCACTAAATCTTTACCAGTCGTGATGTTGTCTTCCATGAAAATATATTTCCTTATCAAACCTCACATTTTCCATCTTCCCCTCAACCTGTATCTTCACCTACACCACTTATTTCACCTCACTTACCTGATCTCGTGTCACCCTCCGTTATCCACCCATCTGACCCTATGATTCCACTTGAGTCGTCCCATTCCGCTGATGCCGCATCTCTCGCACCTGCAACACTTCCTCCATCTACCATTTCTGACCTTACCCTGTCAGCACCTGCTCCGGTGCTTCGTCATTCTAGCTGTCATTCTTCTCCGCCACCTAAGTTATGTGATTATGATTATCCTACTCTCAAGCTTACCCAACCTCTTCCTCCATCGTCTTCGTCGTCTGGTCCCACTCCAGGTACGCGGTATCCACTCGCTAATTACCTTACTTACCATCGTTTCTCAACTGCACAGCAATCTTTCCTTGCCCATATTACTCAACATGTTGAACCCCGGAGTTATAAGGAAGCTGCTCATTTTCCTCATTGGCAAGCTGCCATGGCTTCTGAATTAGAGGCATTGGAAGCTAACCGCACTTGGTCTCTTACTCATCTTCCTCGTGGCAAAACTCCCATTGGCTGCCGTTGGGTTTACAAGATTAAGCACCGTTCTGATGGCTCCCTTGAGCGTTATAAAGCATGTTTGGTTGCCAAGGGCTATACCCAGCTTGAGGGTGTTGATTTCCACGACACATTTTCTCCCACTGCCAAAATGGTCATGGTTCGGTGTTTATTGGCTCTTGCTGCTTCCCGGCAGTGGTCTCTTCATCAACTAGATGTTAACAACGTTTTTCTTCATGGTGACCTTCATGAAGAAATTTATATGACTCCTCCTCCAGGTCTTCGGCGACAGGGGGAGAAGCCTTAGCAAGTCTTTATATGGGTTGAAACAAGCTTCTCGTCAATGGTTTGCAAAGTTTTCTGACTTGATTCAATCCACTGGTTATGTACAATCCAAGGCTGACTACTCTTTGTTTACCCGGACACAAGGCAAGTCTTTTACAGCCCTCCTAATTTATGTTGATGATATTTTGATTACGGGCAATGATTCGAGTGCTATCGATTCCCTAAAACGGTTCCTTAATGGTTGTTTTAAAATCAAGGATCTTGGCAATTTGAAGTACTTTCTTAGGATTGAAGTATCACGTTCTAAGAAAGGGATCTTTATTTCCCAACGGAAGTATGCTTTAGAAATATTGAAAGATGGAGGCCTTTTGGGAGCTCGCCCCGTCGAATTTCTCATGGAACATAATCTTAAGTTATCAGACAATGGTGCAATCCTCAAAGACCCGGCAAAATATAGAAGATTGGTAGGGCGTCTGATATACCTAACAATCACTAGGCTAGATATAACCTATTCCGTGCATGTGTTGAGTAGGTTTATGCATGAGCCCCGCACACCACACATGGAAGCAGCTATTCGGATTTTGAAATATATCAAGAATACACCTGAACAAGGTTTGTTCTTCTCTTCTGAGAATGATTTGGTCTTAAATGCATATTGTGACTCGGACTGGGCAGGTTGTCCAACAACACGAAGATCAACTACAGGGTATTGTATTTTTTTGGGCTATTCGTTGATTTCTTAGAAGTCAAAGAGACAAAAGACTGTGTCTTTATCATTAGCGGAGGCCAAGTATCGAGCCATGGCTGGAACTTGTTGTGAATTATCATGGCTACGATATTTATTGAAAGACCTAGGTATACTACATCATCAAAGACCGGCTCTGCTCCATTGCGACAATAAAGCAGCTCTTCACATTGCTGCTAACCCAGTTTTTCATGAGCGAACTAGGCATATAGAAATGGACTGTCACTTCATCCGGGACAAGATACAAGATGGTTCAGTTGTTACGAGATTTGTTCCTTCTTCCAATCAACTTGCAGATGTACTCACGAAGCCATCAGGGAAGGAAACTTTCTCAAATATCATTCACAAGTTGGGAGTTCTCAATGTCCACTCTCCAACTTGAGGGGGAGTGTTGAGAAGTCAATGATATCATTCCTGATATCTTGGCTTAGTTTTAGGAAAACTATTTTGTAAATTGTTTGTAATTGATTTGTGAATATTTGTAAAACCTAGAATGTAGGCTAGGTTACTTCTTCGGCAAGATCTCTCTTTGTATAAAGTCTCTTAGTAGCAATTGAAGTAATTAATCTTCTGCAAAATATTCTTTGCACCTTTTTACATATCTGGTTTTATACATAAGCATACGCAAATTCCTATTAATTTGGACATACTTTTAATTTTTTTTAAAAAAAAGGAATGTTCCAACAAGAGATTAAAACAGGAAAATAAGGCTCCATCAAGTATCAGGAATGTTTTTATACCAGAATAATAAAAAGGGCAATACTAGGAAAGAAATCCAAACCATAGTTTAGGATACAATAAAGATCAATAAAACCAAACCACTGATTCGATCAATATCATAATATACACAAGAAAGTCCAATGAAAATGTAGAATTCTAAGACAGGTATGCTCTATGGTCTTGGGTTCGAGGCACGAAGATGGCAAAAACATAGGTAATTCCTTGGTTAAAAGCTTTGGGAGGACGTGTGATTTGCTTGTGGTTAGGGACGTGGGATGAAATTCCTTTAGCCTTCCGGGCTCCACTGGGAATTAGTCATACCCTTCAAAATGTGGGATACCCTAAACTTCGGCAGGGAAAAAGGTAATGCTGGGGAGATCAAAATTTTAAATTAAATTTGTAAACCATATGATGTAGTAGTGCTATTGTGTTAATTAACATGTTTATTTCCTATTATAGTGACACCTCATATAATTTATAAATTTAATCTAAAAATGTCTATCTAGCATTACTCGAAAAGAAAATGAATATCGAAATACTTTCCTTTTTTCTATTTTCCAACACCCTGCTGTCACATTTTTTTCATGCAACAAAGATGAGGATTGAAACACGTTCAAGGTTTAAAAACACGGGAAAGAGAAATATAAGTAGACTCCAATGCTAAGTACCAGTTTGGAATTACTGTGCTTATTTTAAAAATCATTTTTGTTATGTTTTAAGAATAATCAGCTGCAAGATAAAGTAGTACTTGTGCCCTTGAATAAACTGTATTTTTTAAAGTTTGTGAGTATGAAAAGCAGTGTAAAGGCGTTTGGTAAATTCTAATGTAAAAGTGATATAATTGTATATAATGACAAAAAATGGACATAATACTGTGTGCGATGACAACAACGACGGTCACGAAGGCAATGGTTGTGATGGTGGTGGCGGCGGTGGCAACGATGATGGTGACAGTTGTGGTGGTAGTGGGGGTGGGAGGTGATTGTGGTGCAGTGACAACAATGGTAGTGATAATGGCAATGGTCGCGTAAAAGGTTAGGGTTTATAATGGTGGTGGTCACTTTATTTTCTAAAGATAAATGTGTTTAGAAGGATAAATAATGTTATTTTTAAAATTAATGAGCGTATTACAAGAACTAAAAGCATCCATTAAAGGCTTAACTCCTTTTTTTTATTAAACCATCTTCAAAAAACAACTATCTGGAGGTTTGCTTTTAATATAAGCCCGATATTTTATTTTTATCAAATGCTTTTTTACTGCTTCACTTTAAAATGAAGAAAATTTTGGTGTAAAAAACAATACCAAATTGGGCCTATGTCTAATGTTATCCTTTAAATTTAAAACAGAATATTAGAGAAAGAGCCGAAGCCCAAATTAAATTTAGTAGAACCTCGTGAACGCAACGCATGGCCAACCTTAGGTCTGTTACCTCTGACCTGTTTAAACCACAAATTTACGCACTCCTGCCTCTCACCCCGCCTAACGCTAACTCCCTGCAATCAATCTCTCTCGCGCAAACTATCTAAGCCATGGCATCCGAATCCGACTTGGGATCGGCATATGGAGAGGGGCAGAATCCAGCCCGACCGGCGAAGGAAGTGCTTGATGAGGAGAATAATCTTAGAAAAGGTATATATATATGCTATTGATTTTTAGGTTTAGGGCTAATTTGTGACGTCGAAGAAGATTATCCGGTTTGGCTAATTGAGTAGTACTATAATTCTCAACATCTCCCGAATGGTTATCTGGAATTCAATTGCCACTACATGATAATCTTTAAGCAGTTGGCATGGATGAGTTTAAAAAATTAAGCTATAATTGTCTTGTCTTGAATTGAATTGAATTGAATTGAATTTTGTTGTTGTACCTTGGTGCCGTTTTCGTCTACACTGGCCTCCTTTGCCCCATATTTTGGAAGTGTCATCTACCTATCTCTCGTGCATTTGTAATGCTCTTGTAGGGCTTTTCTAATCCCCTCCATACAACATTATATGATCCACTACATCAATTTCTTGGGACTTAGAAAACCCTCGTCCAAAATATAGCCTTAGGGTTTTAGAGTTCTCCGTGTCCTGATCTAGCAAACTACTGGTGTATGTGGTGTCAGCCCGACACCAATATTTGATTCCCTTAACTTGGGGTTCATATAGAGGTTATTGTTTCTTATATGCTTCTCATGTTTCCTACTCTGATTATTGTTCATTTTGTTCTTTATAAATACTGAGTTTCTTCATTCATTTTGGGGCTTGGCTTCGTTCATTTTCTTTCAATTATATTGGAAGAGATTATTTGGAATTTTCTTGTGCTTCTTAATTTGTGCGAATTGAGGATTTAGTTTTATTTTATTTTTGTATTTAACTAAGGAACTGCAAACAAACAGAAAAACAGAAAGTTGTACCAAAGGATGTCGAAGACTCAATGACTCAACTCCAACTGGACAAATGACGGCCATGGTGCTTCTAGGCTTTGTAGAGTTTGCTGTAAGAAGAAGAAGCACTTCAGTCACAATTGCCCGTACCTGACGCATGTCCCACATGGTGCTACTGTTGGCCCTGGCTATGACATAGTTTGCAAGTGTTGTAATCAGCTTAATGGCCACCCTGGGCGCTACTGGGAAGGGCGTGCTGTTGTCATGTTTTGCGCTTGTTGTATGACTATGGGTCAACACCCGTACGAGAAGTGCCCGTATCGTCCCAAGGACAGAGCACCATTTGTGCCTCGCACGGTGGTTGTGTGGTCAACCTTGGACACAACACCATATGAGTCTTCTGTACCTGACGTTTACTAGGATTAAGATCGATTTTGTCAGTGTTTGTCTGAAGGACTAAAAAAAATCCAAAGCTAAATAAAGTGATTATTAATTTGATGACATGTAATTTAGAAAAACGGAAATCTTTTTTTTTTTTTGGTCATTATAAAATTCATTACCACAACAACAAAGATACAAAAAGAGGTCCAAATACATTGAAAGCACTATACTAAAAAATGGACCCAAAGCACCACTAAAACAGAGCCAAACCCAAAAGATAGAGTCCAAAATATACAGACAAAAAGCAAAAAACCCTAGCAACTCTGCCGCCGCTGAAGCACAAACCAACGCCAGATGCAGGCCGAGAACCAACCAAACAAAGACTCCAAAATGGAAAAGAAGAACATTCCACCCTCCATCACCGAGCACCACAAAGTCCAAGTCCGCAACAAACAAGTAAAGGTAGCCAGTGGAAAAAACTTCCCGCAAGCAACAGTGCAAATTGCACATAGATGGAAGGTGGTGTGTGACCACCCAAGCAACAAGCCAGAGTTGGAGCTCGACACACCTTCCGAGATGGCCGCAAACCAAAATCCAGAATAAACATCTGTAGTATGTTGAGAGCGTACGGGAACTCTTAGGTAAGGCTGCCACGACAGAGAGACCAGACCAGGGGATGGAGGGACCAGAAACTCCGAGGGATCGATCTTAATAATGCCATCGATCACATCTCCAAGCCAATTTTATCTATTTAGCGTTGGATTTTCTTTTTAGCTCAAGTCAAGTGCATGGAAATTAACATTCATCATGGGATGCCATGCATTCCAGTTAAATTCAAACTCATGTTTTTAATGTCAATTGTCCCTCTTATGCAATCTCTTCTGTCACGTTCCATTCTTGCTAAAACCCACTCACATATTTTGTTCGATGCATGGTGTGGCCAGGCCACCCAAATATTTGACCAACCAGTACAATACCGTAGGGTACGTAGAAAATATGTGGTCAACCACAACCAGTAAATACAATTAGATGTGTATATCAAATGTTAAATTCTACAGCATATCCAGAATGTTCGCCAGAGTAGCAGCTGGGCTCATGGCTGTTATCAATGCTACGATGACACTACCTACAAAGTATTCCATAGATCGGGCAATTGTGAGTGAAGTGCATATTGTACTTAAGACACAAAACAGCGCCCAAAATAAGATTCTTCTTCTTCTTCTTGTTTGTTTTTCATCATCTCTAAAATCTCCGAGGGCAACAAGAATGATTTGTGTAGCTCGTCAAGGGCTTTAGTGTTGAAATGTCTCACATCGACCGTATCAATGACAAAAGAAGAGTTTAAATATCATAACCTCACTCTAACTAATACCGAGGCCTTTTGTGATAAAACCCCACACCTGACGGATTGTGCAGGTGGTTAAGTGGGGACAATATCGGTGTTGTTGGAAGTAAGCCGTATGACCCGTCTCTCTGATAATTCTACATGGTATCAGAGCCAGGGAGCAGGCCCGTACCGTAGTGCCACGTGATGGGTGGGTCCCCTTGGCCCCGCGCGATGATGGTGGGTCCCTTGGCCCCGCGTGTAGGGTGAGCCCCCTTGGCTCCACGTGGTTGTCGATGTATGAATCTCCCACGTGTGACCTGCTAATTGGGTCCCACGTGAGGGAAATGAAATGTCCCACATCGACCGTATCAATGACAAAAGAAGAGTTTAAATATCCTAACCCCACTCTAACTAATACCGAGGCATTTTGTGATAAAACCCCACACCTGACGGATTGTGCAGGTGGTTAAGTGGGGACAATATCGGTGTTGTTGGAAGTGGGCCGTATGGTCCGTCTCTCTGATAATTCTTTTGTGATAAAACCCCACACCTGACGGATTGTGCAGGTGGTTAAGTGGGGACAATATCGGTGTTGTTGGAAGTGGGCCGTATGGCCCGTCTCTCTGATAATTCTACATGGTATCAGAGCCAGGGAGCGGGCCCGTACCGTAGTGCCACGTGATGGGTGGGTCCCCTTGGCCCCCGCACGATGATGGTGGGTCCCTTAGCCCCGCGCGATGATGGTGGGTCCCTTGGCCCCGCGTGTAGGGTGAGCCCCCTTGGCTCCACGTGGTTGTCGATGTGTGGATCTCCCACGTGTGACCTGCTAATTGGGTCCCACGTGAGGGGGCGTGTTGAAATGTCCCACATCGACCGTATCAATGACAAAAGAAGAGTTTAAATATCCTAACCCCACTCTAACTAATACCGAGGCCTTTTGTGATAAAACCCCACACCTGAAGGATTGTGCAGGTGGTTAAGTGGGGACAATATCAGTGTTGTTGGAAGTGGGCCGTATGGCCCGTCTCTCTGATAATTCTACATTTAGCACTCGCCAACTTTCAACATTATAGGTAAATGAGATCCCACGTCTCTATTTATAATAAAATGTGTCATGTATAAGAAGACAAAAATAAAGGATAAAAGTAGCAAATATTGAAATAAAATTTGTCTACGTGGTTTGCCTATTCCATTGAAGTGACACACTTTTTCTGTAAGGCAATTGAGTAGGCAACTTACCATGCCAACTGTTATAATATAAATTTACTATTTCCTTTGCCTATACCATTCGAGATGCTTTTATGTGCGGCCTTTCTCGCGTCACTGCTAAAATTTATTTCCCTACTTAATTTGGGTTTTTTAACAAAAAAAAAACTTGGGCCTAATTTCGATCTATGAAAAATCTAGCCCAGAATTATCTAGAAACATGTTATGTGTAAAATAAGACAAAAAATGAAAGGGAAATTATGTTTAATTATACTCAATTCTTATCTCTGAACCCATAAAACTTTAATTTTTTGTAATGACAACTGTATTCTAATGTCTAATGATTCAAATGCCTAATTCAATTTTAATTTTAATATTTCTTAGTATTTGAAAAATGGAAGATCTAAAATTAAAAAATCAAAAGCGACTTATTGTTCGGTTCGTTAAAAATATTCGTCTTTATACCTGAGGTTTTGTGTTTGAATTCCCCTCCTCGTAGTTTAGATGTGGTTAGTGTAAATTATTCTATCGTTTGTAAAAAAAAAAATGAAATGAAAAGAAAAGAAAGAGGGAGTAGGTTGGTGTCCAGCCGTAAATCCCCTCTCTCTCACCCCCACCTCATCAACCGTTAAGGTCATCTGTTTCCTCTAACGTAGAGCAACTTGCACACCGCCAAGAGTTTCTCCTTTCCTGCACCAAGTTCCATAGCACGACTTCATGTTTGGTAACGCTCTTTCCTGCTTTCTTTCCTCTTTTTCCTATGTGATCTTGGAAGGGAAAGCCCATTTTCTGCACAATAAAAAGGCGCGTGACTCTAGGTTTACATGTGATTTGGTTATGATTCGTTAGCTCAGCTTTGGGTTTTGGTTGTTTCCTAAGTATCCTAGTTGGTTTGCGAGGAAGATGGGAAACTTCGTCCGTTATGTCTCAAACCTTCCCACGTGAAGCCAAAATCATAGGCTTGGACTTTTAGTGCTCCCAAGTAGCCCAAAGTCTTCCACAACCCTAATTCCATATAGGTCCAATGAATTTCCATAACCATCCACACCACGATCCATTTGACGAGCCCATGTAAGCCCCGTTACATGGCTTAGGCTCATTTAAGTGTGTCGCATGCTTGCCATGACTCAAATTATAATTTTAATGTATTAATATTATTATATCGCTTGGCACGATAAATATGTGTGATTTTCATGAGCTTGGTGTCCCATAATCTATTATATTATCGTCCATGATCGTAAATTTGCTTACTCGTCATTTCTCACTTTATGCATGGATTAAGGCTCGGCTTGATGACGCTTTCATAACAATTGGGCTTTGAGACATGATTAAGCTTTAAGTGAGCTTTTTGGGCCCCAACACCCTTCTATCCTTGGTCTCTCTCAATGCCTCTAGATTATATGAAGGTAAGCACAAATGAAAAATAGAAGAGACACAATTTGAAGATGCAATTGTACAAAACAATGTTTGGGTGAGAAGAAAAAATAATTTTACAAGAGGCTTGTTATACTATCCCATAAGAGGAGTCAAATTTTAAACATAAAATTTGAATTTAACATCCTAAGTGGCATTTTGACATTTTTTTAAAAAAAAATTTGTGCTCCACCCAATATGTCAAATTAAATTATTATTTTATTACATTATTTTCTTTTCATAATTTCTATTTTATATTTTAATGTTGCATATATAAATAATTCATATTAAAAGTTCATACTTTATCTTCTTTTCATAATTTCTATTTTATATTTTAATGTTGCATATATAAATAATTCATATTAAAAGTTCATATTCATTAACGGTAGGATATCAGAAGCTGTGAAGGAGAAGAGACGTCAAGAAGCTTGAGGGTTGTCTACAAGAGATGCCATAATTTCGTGATGTTGCACGTGAAGCTGCACTTTGTAAAATTAAGGAAAGAATGAAGAAGACCAAGACGAAAAGAAGGGCAAGAAGACAGAAGTAATGAAATTTTAGAAGACTTAAGGCAAGGGCAGGTGGTAGTGGTGGCAAGCGTTAGCCACCGTTCTATTGTCTACTTGAAGATTTTGTAAGGATTGGAACGATATCAATCAACAATTAATTATGGTATAGGTTTTAAAAATAAAAAGCATTTGATAATGCATTAAAAATTATTTAAAGGCTTTTGTCAAATTTGGCAGCAAGGGTGAGGATTATCATTCCATGTCATACTGCATCAGATTTGACTTATCGGTTGAAAAACATTATTGCCGTTTTTTATGATTGTTAATGACGATTTGGACATTTTGACATCTTCTTTGGAGATGCTTTTAGGTCGTCGATCTCTTTTGGATGTTGAATCGCCCATTTTTTGTTGATTTAATTTTATTTAATAAGTGAACTCCAATTTAGGGTCAAATTTGAAATGATTTTCAATTTCAATGTCCAAAGAATTCTAGTAAGGGTGTCCAGAGACGAAATTGGGTGTAAACAAAATTTCTCAAAATAAAAATGATAAATGTGAAGCAACAATAGCGAATTCGGGGAAAATTTATTGGTGGGTCCATGAAGAAATAGCACGCCACAAATGGGACGAAAATAAACGTAATTTTTTAGTGTGGCCTTTCGTCCAACAACTGCTGAGGTATATAGGTCTATAGTCTTGCCGAGCCATGTAGGATGGTTGTCGACATACACTAAGAAAATCTGTCGATAGATGCGATAACACTTCATACAAAGCAATGTCAAATGTCAGACACTTTATATGAAGTGGTTACCATGTGACCGACTAAGGGTTCATCAGAGACACACCCCAAAAAAACTTTTCCGGCCACCACGAGGTTAACTAAGCACTTTGATCCCATGGTAGATTAGTCATTATGAAACAAGTTTCCCACTTGTTATTGGTTGCATGACAATTTAATAACTGAGCTTTTATCTTTTTTGAACAAACGATATTATTTACTTTAAGAAGAATAGGGTGGACCAAGTCTCATAATCGGCTAGCAATAATGTGGTTCAAATTCGCCTTTGGCGAGAATCGAACCTAAGACCTTTCACTTATAACTAAAGATAAATATTACTAGATCGTAGTACTAAGCAACAACTTATTTTAAACTCTCATGTTGTGACATATGTTCTTATCAATATGTGATTGTGTAAATCCTAAGTAGAGATAAAATAGGAATCCTTTGGGATCTAGAAGATCTTTCCTAATATACTTTGTATTACTTGGAGAGCAAGTTTCTCTCCTCCTAATTACTATAAATAAAGGCACAAGGACTGGGGAATTAACACACAATTCCTCAAGTCTATTCTCCAATCTCTATTCTTCTCTTTGCCGCATATCTCTGTAAAATATAGGCCACAACACGTTATCAGCAC